GAGGCCAGAAAGGGGCTTTGTGGACAGAGACAGCACCATGAGGTGTGGTCTATTAATAAAGCCCGAGTTCAGCCCACTCCTATGCCTGGGAGCTACAGGCATGACCTGCAGGTGCTAACCATGTCCAAGGTCAGGAAATCCCATCCTTTTGCCTTCCCTGGCCTCAGGGACACTTCTCCCCAAAACTGCCATAATCACCATGCCAACACCCCTCAGATTCTATTCAGTACTATGTCCTTGCAGCGGTTCTCAGTATGTTTCCTGAGGGACTTCTGAAAGTTGGTTTCATTATCCCTAAAAAGGGATTTCTACATATATATGTAAAGCAACTCTCTGGAGAGAAAACAACAGGGAAAAGTATCAAAAACATAAATTTGGGGGCTAACTTTCCTCTGTGAGCAAAGAGGATGTTTTATGAAACTACAAGTCACTCAAAATGAAATGATAGCCCATAAACAAATATCTGTTAGCCAGGCGTGGTGGCATGCACCTGTACTCCCAGCTACTCAGGTGGGAGGATGGCTTAAGGAGTTCAAGGCTGCAGTGAGCTACAATTGTGCTACTGCACTCTAGCCAGGGTGACAGAGTGAGACCCTGTCTCAAAGAAAATAAATAAATAAGTATTAAAATATAAAGCCTGCTGGCACAAGAGAATTGTAAAGTTCACTATAGTACGTGTACCCAGGTTTCTCATTTTGTTCTGAATTTATCTCTAAAATAAATAAAATTTATGTCTAAAAATGAATAAATATTTTTTTAAAAAAATAAATATTAATACAGTCTGGACCCTAATTGGTTAACTGTTCATTTCTTTACAGACAGTGCTAATTTATAGGTTTTATCAAAGACATTTGTTATGGTTTCCCAGTAAAGATTCTTGATGGAAAATTAAGGGCTGGGGGCTTTTTTTTCATCTCAGAAATCTCTTGTCACAAAGGTATGGTGGCATAGAATTTTTAACTTAGAATGTGTCATCCTTGAATGCTTGAGAGTTCAAAATTTGCTCTCTTATTTATAATGTGCAAAAAGTGGCAAGTAGTTTACAAATTACTTTCCAGTGTTTTTATTTAAACATGTAGCCTGGCAATAAAGGAATTAGAGGACTGCATCTGAAGTCTTCAAAGAAATCACATCTGAGCACACTAGCCCGGGCAACAGAGTGAGACTCTGTCTCAAAAAAAATAAAAAGAAAAAAAAAGAAAAAAGAAAGAAATCACATCTGAGTCTGTCCTTGCAATTGGTCCAGAATCCAGAAAAGAATGCCATGGTCTCGCTGTGCTTACCAGATGTCCGGTCAGATGAACAGGTCAAATGTTCTTTTAGGATTACATTTTGGAATTACAGGAAGCCTTCAGCAAAGGACTTCAGCATCTTCTGGAAAAATCAGTTCAGTGTTCAGTAATGGGTTGGCAACAGCAGTAGCTGCCAATGTAACGACAAGCTTGTGGCTACAAAACAGCGCTATCTGTCCCAACACAGAAGGTTCTAAGGGTGTCATCCAAGACTGGTGGCAACAACTGGTCTCCAGGCAAACATCTTGGGAGGAGAATGACTCCAGAAGGTCTCTAGGTAGAGCCAACATGTGACATGGCCAGAGATTGACAGACACAGCAGATATGGCCCCTTTGCAGTGTAAGAAATGTGTTGTCAGGTTCTGAGGCTCATTTGAGGGGAATCTTGGACTCTGTGCTCCAGGTTATAGGGCAGTCTAAATGAATTCTCTGTGACATATGCTATTCAGTGCCAATTTAGGAGCCCACCCTCCAGCCCCACCATTATAATCCTGCTCCATAGTAACCTCTGGGACTCCAAACTGTCTTCCTGCTATTCCCATTGTTTTTTCTTTCTTTTTATTTTTTTCTTTAAAATTTTGTTTTGGGCCAGGTGCCATGGCTTATGCCTATAATTTGTACTCTGGGAGGCCGAGGTGGGAGGATCACTTGAGTTCAGGAGTTTGAGACCAGCATGATCAAGACAGAGACCCCGTTTTTACTAAAAATAGAAAAATTAGCTAGGCGTTATGGCATGTGCCTGTATTTCCAGCTACTCGGGAGGCTCAGTGAGACAAGAGGATCGCTTGTGCCCAGGAGTTTGAGGGTGCAGTGAGCTATTATGATGACACTGCACTCTAGCCAGGGCAACAGAGCAAGATTCTGTCTCAAAAAATAATAATAGGCCAGGTTCCGTGGCTCACACCTGTAATCCTAGCACTCTCGGAGGCCAAGGTGGGTGGATCGCTCAAGGTCAGGAGTTGAAGACCACTCTGAGCAAGAGTGAGACCCTGGTCTCTACTAAAAATAGAAATAAAAATAGAAATAAATTAATTGGCCAACTACAAATATATAGAAAAAAATTAGCCGGGCATGGTGGCGCATGCCTGTAGTCCCAGTTACTGGGGAGGTCGAGGCAGAAGGATTGCTTGAGCCCAGGGGTTTGAGGTTGCTGTGAGCTAGGCTGACACCACAGCACTCTAGCCTAGGCAACAGAGTGAGACTCTGTCTCAAAATAATAATAATAAAATAAAAAAACAATAAAATTTTGTTCTGATGTAAAGTTTCCATTTAGAGTAGTGCCAAACCTCTGTTCTCTCTGCACCAGTACACAGTTACCCAGTAAAGCTGGACTTCAGTTCCCTAGTGACATAATCAGAAAACCAAGCCCAGCAGGAAACAGCAGCCACAGCAAACACAAACCCAGCCTGAGCACACATGAAAGAATGCTGGTTCTGGATCCTTCTGCTAGCCATCTGGTAACACCCCTTTGCCAAGGGCCCATGGTAACTGGAAATCTTGAGCTGTGCCAATAGTTACTAACCACGAGATTCACTAAAAACCCGGACATGGGGATCTTAAGAAGTTTAACTGACCTGACATCATATGTATGAATATGAAATCACCTAGAGAAGTCCCGGAGAGAGAAGTGAAAAGGCCTCTAAGAAGTTTAGCTAAGAGTGGCCGGGTGCGGTGGTTCATGCCTGTAATTCTAGTACTTTGGGAGGCCAAGGAGGGAGGAGGATAACTTGAGGCCAGGAGTTTGAGGTTGTAATGAGCTCTGTTGATGTCACTGCATGCTAGCCTGGGCAACAGAGCAAGACATTGTCTCCCCACCCCAAAAAACAACATCAAAAAAAGAAGTTTAGCTAGGGGCCTGAAAGTGGATGTGGGATGTGACCACGGATCTTCTGAGATGGGTGGAACCCAGCCTCATGCTGTCAAGTCCGAAGGACAACATGTCTAGTCGGTCTCAAGTTTTTACTCTCATAGGATCACTCCTACCAGGGAAATAATCTTGAGAATCTTTGACCAGTTCTACTAGTCATTAGTTACCTACTCCTCAAAAAAAGTCAATAAAAGTATGAAGAATTCTATCAACAGATGAATGAATAAACAAAATGTGGTTTATACATACGAATATTATTCAACCTTAACAAGGAATGAAATTCTAACATATGCCACAACATGGATGAAACTTGAAAATATTATGCCAAGTGAAATAAGTCAGATACCAAAGAACAAATATTGTATAATTCCACTTGCAGGAGGTACCTAGAATAGGTAGACACAGAAAGTAGAACAGTGGTTCTAGGGATTTGGTGGGGAGGGGAGAATGGGGAGATATCATTTAATGGGAAGGGAATTTCTTTTTTTTTTTAATTTCAAAATATTGTGGGGGGTGGGAGGGCACAGTGGCTCATGTCTATAATCCCAGCACTCTAGGAGGCTGAGGTGGGAGGATCACTTGAGGTCAGGAGTTTGAGACCAGCCCGAGCAAGAATGAGACTTGCTCTCTACCAAAAATAGAAAAAACTAACTGGGCATGGTAGTGCATGCCTGTAGTCCCAGCTACTTGGGAGGCTGAGGCAGGAGGATCGCTTGAGCCCAAGAGTTTGAGGTTGCAGTGAGCTATGATCACACCACTGCACTTTAACCCAGGCAACAGAGTGCATATACACATACACACACACACACACACACACACACACACACACACACACACATACACACACACACACACAGTACATCAAGAGAAAATGGTAGGAGATGCATGGTAACATAATAACTGGGGAATGTGAGTAATAGGTATGGGAGTTCTTTGTACTAGCCTAACTTTTCTATAAGTAGGAAATAATCTACAGTTGAATTATCTGGAGGGATTGCTCACAGTTACAGAACGAACTCCTTGTTCTACTCTTTGTTCCCTTCTCACTACTGCACTTGACTAGTTAAAAAAAATTTACAAAAAATTTTAAAGCTGATATATCTCATTCCTAGTGATCTTATGATCTAAAACGAAGCCATATTAATATGGCATTATAAAATGTCTATCTCAATTAACTTTTTCTTTAAAACAGGGTATCTCTCTGTTTCCTAGGCTAGAGTACAGTGGTGTCATGATAGCTTACTGCAACTTTAAACTCCTGGGCTCAAGTGATCCTCCTGCCTCAGCCTCTAGCTGGGACTACAGGTGCATGGCACCACACTTGGCTAATTTTTCTATTTTTTGTAGAGATAGGATCTCACTGTGTTGCTCCGGCTGGTCCTGAACTCCCCACCTTGGCCTCACAAAGTGCTAGGATTATAGGCATGAGCCATTGTGCCTGGCCTCAATTAATTTTAGTATTATATTAGTGACATCATTAACCAGGAAAATTGTATAGAGTTTTCTCTGATAATAAAATCATTGAATCTCAAGGTTAGAAGGGACCTAAGAGACCAAACAACTCAAACATCTGTGTTTCCCAGTGCAGCACCATAATAAATTAAATAATATCAGGCTGGGCGAGGCAGCTCATGCCTGTAATCCCAGTGCTTTGGGAGGCCAAAGTGGGAAGATTGCTTGAGCCCAGGAGTTGGAGATTACAGAGAGTTATGACTATGCCAGTGTACTCCAGACTGGACAACAGAGTGAGACCCCATCTCTGGAAAAAAAAAAAAGAAATTAAATTATATGAAAAGCAAGGAGGGTGTGAACATGAGTCAAGCACAGAAAGGTTGCTATACCTGAGACTGCTGTTGATCTCCACCCAGCCCAGCTTCCATAACACATGAAGCAGAAGTCCCCCAATGAATGTCTGCCACCTGAAAGGACAAGAGCCGATATGAATTTCATAGAGTGTGAGGGTCTCAAATGCCATCCAGCCCTAGCAGACCTGCTGACTGACACAAATAGACACTTTCCACCAATTTTGCAACTCTTTTCTCCCACTCTTTCCCAATTATTCCATTTCTCAGACTTTTCCTTCTCAACCTCCACTGTCCCCTTGAGTCCAGCTGTCCAGTAAGTACTGACATTAATTCTCTTCCCTTCTTATTCTAGACTTTTCGTGAACAATCTCACCCACAGCCACTGCTTCTCCTGTGCCCTGGGGATTCCCACAGCCTTATTGTCACCCGGATACTGCCACAGTGACCTCCCACAGCTCCCGATTGTAACATGCCTAAAACATCACCTAGAAACTCCCTAAGTCCTATTATCCTACCATCCCTAATCCACCAAACCAGAAATCTAGACGGCATCTTAGCCCTTCCTCTGGCCTCCTCTCCCTCACCTACGTGCAAAATCCTATTGATTTTATTTACCCCATCACAGCCCCCAAATCCAAAGCCTCCCCTCCATCCCTCCTGCCCCTGCCTCAATTCAGGCGTCCCACACCTGGCCCACAGCATTAGTTCCCCAGCTGGTCCCCCTCACTCCAGGATCTCCTCCCCATCCATTCTCTACTTTGCAGTCGAAGGGTTTGTTCTAAATGCAGATTTAATAGTGCCACTGGCTTGTTTTCAAAATGGGTTCTGCCTGGTGCTGCAGGCAGCAGCCCTCGGCCCCTTCTCTGCCCACACACACTTGGGGTCATGAAGCTCCCGTGAGACACGCTGCCCTCAGCATGCGCAGTGCGGAGGTCAGCACAGGTCAACCTCTCCCCCTGCCACTGCAGGAAGCACATAAAAACGCCCAGTGAGTGAGAGGGACAGTCTCACTCTAATTGATTTTTTATTTTAGGTGAATCATTCATAAATTTCAAAACCGTAATTTTAGTTATGAATGACTTCAGATGCCTGGGAAGTGACTCCAACACACCCATGTGTTGTAATGCTACAGCTGAAAACCCCTGGCTGACAGGACAAAGTCACTTGTGTGTGACACACAAGCCCCCTGGGACTCGTACCCGCCCCCTCCAGGATCAGCTCCTGTCTGTGGGCCGTGGGCAGCCACCTCCTAGCTGTACTGAACAGCCCCCGGCCTCAGGAATGTGCCAGGCCATGTGATACTTCGAGAGTCTAGACGTGCTGTCCTCTTGCCCCAGAATGTCCTTTCCATGTCCTGGTGTGTTAGTGATCGCCTGCTCACCCTGTAAGACCCAACCTGCATGTCTCCTTTGTGAAGCTTCACTGACCCAGCCAAGCCAAACAGACCGAATGCGGGCTGTGCCTCAAACAGCTTAGTCTAGAGCAGTGGTTCTCAATCAGGCAATTTTTCCCCAGGGGACATTTGGCAGTATCGAGAGAATTTTTGGTTGTCACAACTAGGGGTGGGAGGGGAAGCTATGCCACTGGAATCTATTGAGTAGAAGCCAGGGATGCAGCCCCCACAGCAAAGAAGCATCCAACTCAAAATGTCAATGCTGGAACGTCATTCTGAGGTTGACAAACCCTGGTCAAGTGGAAAGTAAGATAATTAACCAATAATTATAATAAAGTGTGATGAACCCTAATAGGAAAAGTGCCAGGTACTATAAGCCACCCTAGCAAGGTGACTAAGGTTGTAGAACAGGTAAGTCTCCCCAGAGAAAGTAAATTTGAGCAAAAACCTAAAGCACGTTGGAAGCAGAAGACCAAGAAGGGACAAAGGCACAGAGGTAAGAGAGACAATGGCTTGTGCAGAGCTTCTCAGAGCAGTTCAGCTGGGCTGGACCTTAGCATCAGAGCCTTTGAGAGGGGATGGCGAGAGCTGACACTGGAGACAAGGGGCTGATCCCCAAGGGCCCTGTCAATCACGCTAAGGAGCTGGGACTTCACAATGGGGACCCACCATTTTGAAAATATTAATAGCAAGCTCCACGAGGGCAGAGATCTTTGTTTTCTTCACTGATGTACCCAAGTATCTAGAACAGTATCAACAAATATTTGCAGACTAAGTTATGCTACCCTACTATGCACCTCCTAGGCACCAGGCATTGTCCTAGGCACTGGGGATGCTCCAGGGACAAAACGGACAAATCAAAATTCCTGCCTTTGCAGATCTTACACTCTATGGGAGAGGCACATCCAATCTGACTTTTGGATGAGAAAGGGGTAGACAACCAGGTGTACACAGCCCCTTCCCCACCTAAGTTCCCTAAGTCCCTCTACCTGAGAGACATGAAAGGACAATCAGGGCCATAAAACACCTGCTAGTCACTAAAAGAGAAAACAATAGCCCAGCTTTATTGACTAAAATATGCATCATCACAGACAATATTTTAAAACTTTTGCTATAAATATTAGAGAGGAACTTGACAAAGAATTCTAAAGATCACCTGAAATAATTTATTGGTGATAATATAAAGAATCGTTTTTTAAAGGAGAAGAATGAGATATGACTTGCTCTACTACATAGGTAAATAGCATAATAATTGAAACAACTCAGCACTAGCCCCTTTCCATAAAAATTGACAAATAAGTACCCAATAAGAGACCCTAGGAAAATGACTTCAGATGGGTGCTCCTAACTTACAATGGGGTTGCGTACAGATAAGCCCATCATAAGTTGAAAATATTGTAAGTCAAAAATACACTTAGTACACCTAACATATCAAACATCATAGCTTGGCCTGGCCTACCTTAAATGTGCTCAGAACATTTACATCAGCGTGGCTGGCTGGGAGCTGCAGCTCACACTCCCTGCAGCAGCCCAGCATTGCAAGGGAGTGTCATATGGCATATTGCTAGCCCAGGAAAAGATCAAAATTCAAAATCGGAAGTACAGTTTCTACTGAATGCATATTGCTTTCGCATCATCATATGATCAAAAATCATAAGTCAAACCATCGTAAGTCAGGAATGCACACATGTGATATTAGGAACTCAAAGGCAAAAGAAAGGATTATACAATAAATGGGGCTAGTATAACTTAGTTAACTATTGAGGGAGGGACAATTTCCTCACATTGCACCATAGACTAAAATAAACTGACAATGATTAAAAACTGAATCAATCTTTAATATAAAATAGAAGTGAATATCTAAATGATCTTGTGATGGGGAAGAATACAGAGAAAAGCAAAGAAAGCAGTCACAAAAGAAACAATATATTAGTACACATAAAAATAAAATAGTTAAATAATCAAAATAATTATAAACAAACTAAAAGGCAAAGAACAAATTACAAAAAATATTTTCAATAAACATGATGGACAAGTTGTTGGCATCCTTAAAATAGAAAGAATTCATTAAACTAATGAGAAAAATACTAAAACCTCAGTGAAAATAAGTCAATAAAAAGGCACAAATAGATAATTCACTTAAAAAAGACATGAGTGGATAAGCATAAGAAAACTGTCCAACCTCAGGAATAATCTAAGAAATTATAAGACAAAAAAATATATCTTTTGTTCATGAAGTCAGTGAAATCAGAGAAGAAAAAGTAGTCACAGTGTAAGTACATTATAGAAATTTTCATATACAGGTTGGGTTGTAATGTAAATTGGTAATAAAACATTTTGGTAAAATAATCTGTTAATATTCAAGAATACTAAAGAAGTTCACATAATTTAACCCAAATTTCTCATGTAGGAATGTATCCCAAAGAAATAGTTGGAAATTTGGCAGATCTGAACACAAAAAAATGTCTGGTAACAGTGTTGTTTTTATACCTCCAAAATGGAACACAAGTTAAATGCCCATTAATAGGATGGCCAAATAATTTATAGTATGCTTATTTGATGAAAGAAACCTATGCAGTCATTAAAACTATTTCAAAGAACATTTAGTGTTATTGGTTGGACATTTCCTACAAATATGTATAAAGAGCATAAAAGATACTCACCCTTGGAATAACGTAGGGTAGGTAAATTTCAAGACAGACAGGACATACTGAAAAACAAACACCAGATTATTGGACACTTCAAATGGGCAAACAAATCACCTTCCAAATCATACTAAAGAGAATGAGCCTACTTTTCCCCAGGGCCACCAGAAGCTTGGCCCTCTTAGTTGGCGAGCAGAGTTGGCATCATAAGAAACCCAGGAAGCAGAGCATCTGGGTCCCTTGCTAGAGATAGATGCTCAAACACTCAGCATCCTCCCAAATCCCAGAAAATGTCATGTTGTAACCATAGCAACTGCGGAGAAAACTGGACAAGTCCCTGGATACAGATTGTTTTGTCAGGGTATCCACTTCAACTGCTGTCCAGATTACCTAAAAATCTAGTCCCTTCTTTGTTTCTCTTTGAGAAGCACTGTATCCTAGTCTTTCCGTTGTTCTCGTTTAATTTTGAGATTTTTATTTCTTTTTTTGCATTAAAGGATTTTTTTCTAACTAATTCTGCAGAGATATCATAATTTTTGTGGTGGTTAGCATTTTAAGAATTTTTTTAAAAACTCGGTTAAGGTAAAATTGTATTTCTCTTATGTCTTTTTTATTTTTTTTTTTTTTTGAGACAGGGTCTCACTCTGTTGCCTCAGCTACAGTGCCATGGTATCAGCCTAGCTCACAGCAACCTCAAACTCCTGGGCTCAAGCAATCCTTCTTCCTCAGCCTCCCAAGTAGCTGGGACTACAAGTATGAGCCACCATGCCCAGCTAATTTTTTCTATATATATTTTTAGTTGTCCAGCTAATTTCTTTCTATTTTTAGTAGAGACAGGGTCCTGCTCTTGCTCAGGCTGGTCTCGAACTCCTGAACTCAAAGGATCCTTCCACCTCAGCCTCCCAGAGTGCTAGGATTACAGGCATGAGCCACTGCTGCACCTGGTGTCTCTTATGCCTTTTAATCAAATTTACAGTACTTTAAGAACAAAGGAATTATGTTCTGTCCTTCTGGGTATCTTTTTCCATTTTGTCCTATTATTGAACACTTTTAAGAATTTTTTAAAAGTCTACAATAGCTTTAGGCAAGGACTCAACTGATTCTTCACATGATCTAAAAGAATGGAGAGGACTGGTATTGAGCAAATTTACACAGCCACTTTTTCCCCAGGGATCAGCCCACACAGATTTCCCCTTGTTTGAGCTCCTAAATGCCACCATTAGGCTGATGGCCTGTGCTCTGTCCTATATTTATGGACAGAAGACCCCCTGAAGTCTATTTACTCACATAATTCAATATGCTCCTTCCTACTCTTCCTGAGATTTATATTCTAAAATAGAGAAAGGGACAGGAGTAAGTGAACATCTGAGTCATGTCCCATAACACCCTTAACAAGCCTCATTATGATAACAGCTATTTATTTAGTTTATTGTGTGCTTAGTTTTGGTCTAGATATTGGGGAAGATCAAAGATCCTGAAGATTTTACCTCCCATTGCTGAAGAACAAAGAAAAAAGAAATGTAGGACAAATATAAGCTAAGTCCCCAAAATGTCCCCTTTCAGCAATTCCTCACTTCACTGAGAAGTGTTGCTCAGAGCAAAATGCTGTTTGGCAGAACAGCAAGGCCCTAGCAGGGAGGTTCTCAAGGAAACACAAAGAGCAAGGGGAGCCTTTAAAAGGAGCGTAGCAAATTTCTCATGTTTATTATCCACTCATATCTCTTTAGACTCAGTGAATTGTCTATTTGTGCCTTTTACCCATTTATTTTCACTGAGGTTTAAGGATTCTTCCTATTAATTTAATGCATTGTTTTATATTTCAACGATGCTACTTGGTTGCAGTGGCTCATGCCTGTAATCCCAGCACTTTGAGAGGCTAATGTGGGAGGATCGTTTTAGGTCAGGAGTTCTAGACCAGCCTGGGCAACATAGTGATACCCTGTCTCCACAAAAAATTAAAAAAAAAAAATAGATGCCAACCACTTGTTCAGAATAGGAATGGACTTTGCCTGCAAGGCTGAAGGCTTAATTGCTGTGAGGAGAAGAAGGACAGGTAGCTACCTGGGACCTGGTTACTGCTGGCACTTCCCACAGGACAGAGGAACATGCCATTTGGTGGCCAGCCCAGGCCACCAAAGCCAGAACTCAAGGGTGTGATGCTTTCTCCTCCCTCCCCACCTACAGCAGCTTTCCTTTGGTAGGGGCCGGGCATGGTGGCTCACGCCTGTAATCCTAGCACTCTGGGAGGCCCAGGCTGGCGGATTGCTCGAGGTCAGGAGTTCGAAACCAGCCTGAGCAAGAGCGAGACCCTGTCTCTACTAAAAATAGAAAGAAATTAGTTGGGCAACTAAACATATACAGAAAAAATTAGCCGGGCATGGTGGCGCATGCCTGTAGTCCCAGCTATTCAGGAGGCTGAGGCAGCAGGATTGCTTGAGCCCAGGAGTTTGAGGTTGCCGGGAGCTAGGCTGACACCAGGGCACTCACTCTAGCCTGGGCAACAGAGCGAGACTCTGTCTCAAAAAAAAAAAAAAAAAATTAGCCAGGCATAGTGGTGTGAGTCCATAGCTACTTAGGAGGATCGCTTGAGCCCAGGAGTTTGAGGTTGCTGTCAGCTAGGCTGATACCATGGCACTCACCGGGGCAACAGAGTGAGACTCTGTCTCAAAAAAGAAAAAACAAAAAAATTTTCTTTCTAATGGAGAGAGACATGGAAATAAAGAAACTAGCACATAGTCTTTGAAAAACTAGAAGAGAGAATCATCTACTGTAGATACAAAAAATCTTCACTAATTACAAAGAAAATTACTTTGGCAGACAGACTAGATGCAGGAGGATATGCTTATGTCCACTGCACAGATTTCTTCCCATTTGGCTTCTACTTGGTCCAAGCCAACTCACACAGCCTTGGTTGTGGGAAGGAAGCTTCACTGTCCTGGTTGAGAAAATAAAACAATGGCCATAAAAGGTTTGAGCAAAAAAAAAAAAAAAAAAAAGGTTTGAACTTCTAAGAGTTACAAAGTTCCTCACCAGAGCTTTGTTATGTTTAGCCACCTCTCATACCCACATCTGGCCCTCCCATCTCCTTTACTCCACCCTGGAGCTCACATCCTCCTCCCTCTTTAGACAATCTCCTCTGGCTTCCCTTCTTTCCTGCCTTCTGCTGTTACTGTCCTATTCTCTCTCTTTAGCTCTGAAAATTCCCAACATCCCCAAGCCAAAGCATTCCAAACCACCTATGATTTCTATTATTCAGATTATATATTTCTAGGAACCTGAAAATTGGTTTATCTAACACCTTGAGACATTATGCACATGGAAAGTATTTAGTCTTTATTAAATTAATTATTAAATGGTGTATGGTACCAATAAATAAAAAATTATGCTACAGGCTGAGTAGTGGCTGATGCCTGCAATCCTAGCACTCTGGGAGGCCGAGACAGGAGGATCACTTGAGCTCACAAGTTTGAAAGCAGCCTGAGCAAGCATGAGACCCCGTCTCTACAAAAAATAGAAAAAATGAGCCGGATGTAGTGATGCATGCCTGTAGTCCCAGCTACTCAAGAGGCTGACGCAGGAGGATCACTTGAATCCAGGAGTTTGAGGTTGCTGTAAGCTATGATGACACCATAGCACTCTACCCAAAGTGACAAAGTGAGACCTTGTCTCAAAAAAATAACAATAATCATAATGCTACAAATGCAAATGTACATGGGGGAATAAATTTCTATCTACTAATGCTGTTTGCCTGCTGGATATTTTCTTTCTTTTTTTTTTTTTGTCTAACCAATGCCATAGCTTGTGGGCCTTCATGTCAGTCATGTTAATATGCCCTCTTCTAATAATTATATGTAAATAAAAGGATGGTTATTCTGTTTTAAAGTACAATTTTATCAAGGTAGACATCAGGTTAGCTAGAAAAATTAGAATAGTTAAATTGAGAAATCCAGGATTTCACAAATTCACATATTCCTGAGTAGGAGCTACAACAAAATATCTTTTTTAATTTAGCTACCTGCCCCACGAGAAAAAAAACAAATCTGTTAAAAGCTAATAATTACTGTGTCACACCATAAACAAAAGATTGTTCTTTCTTTTCTTCCAGAGTGGCTACCACTTATGGATCATTTACCATGATGGTGGGCACTAGGCCAACCACCCTACAAACATCATTTCCACCGACTCTCACAATAACTCTTTTAAGAGAACTCTCTATCTCCTCTGAGAGTTAAAAACTTAGGTTTAGAAAGGTTAAGGTCGCAAAGTAAGTGGAGCCAGGATATAAACCCATCGATGCCTCCCAGTAAGACAGCGTTTATGGATCTTCAAAGGTCCTCACTATAACTAAAAATCAACTGGAGGAGGGAAGGTTGGGAGCATCCTCTGAATATACTAAAGACAGCCACTCACTTTAAGAGAGAAGGGAGAAGGAAATGCTGTTTGTTGATGGTCCTTTTCCAGAGAGAGACAAGCAGCAAGAGGGAGTAGAGACCCCATGGTGGGCAAGGTGGTCGTGGGGCCCATATCACCAGTTTGACTTGGGCCAGCCCAGAGTCCAGGCCAGCAGGTGACTTCATACCCAGACCCACTGGGTCCCACATTTCCCTGCATGGTACCAAACCCAGGGCCAGTTTTCCTCTCCTAACAAAGCAAAAACCCAAATATGGCACCACTGCTTCTCTGCCTCCTCATGAGAAGGGTTCTACAACATCATTTTAAACTTAAAATTAAATTTACGTTTTATTTTAAAAAAATAATTCCATGAAAAACTCTTAAATATACTGGAAGTATTTGGGATGAAAACATAAAACATAGGTTTGGGAATCAGTGGTGTGAGGGGGAGATGGATTAATCTCTTGTGTTTAAAGGCTTCTGGAACATCGTGGGTTCTGGGGCAGGGGCGTGTTCAGGAAAGAAGGCAAGATGTGTCTGATTCCTTCTCTGACTCTTCATCCCCCAAAGACACAGGAACCAAGTGCTTTCTTTCCCTTAAAAGTAGTCCACACAGCTCAAACTTAAGTTCCCGGGAAATGGCCAGTCAAAAAATCCTGTTTCCCAGGAGGTGTACAGGGTGCTTTACAGGACGGAAAAGGGGGACAGAACAGTCCAATAAATGCTATTTCTACAAGCCGGCGTGGCGGATCCCACACGGAGTTGGCTTCCTCTCCATCACCCTCAGGAAAAAACATTAACAGATAAAAGCTGGAGGCTGCATTAGTTACAGAATGATGATCGGACGCAAATCTCCCACGTGCGATCGCCGCCTCCCGCGCCCGCCCCCCTCACCTTGTTCGTGAGGTACGAAGCCAGGTAGCAGGTACAAAAGGTGAGGCCGACCAGGGACCTCCTCACGCACATCTGTCAACTCGCCCCCTTCCCGGGGACAGGCAGCCCGAACCCCGCCGCTGGACGCCCCGCCCAGGGACCGCCACGTGGCTCCGAGCTCCGCCAATCAGCGCGGGGACCGCCCTCCCTAGTGCCTGCCTCCTTAAAGGGGCCGCACCCGCGAAGGCCGGGCAGCCTCGCGGTGGGAGGGTGGCACCAAGGCCAGCGTCTGCAAGAGACTACCGAAGTTGGCCAGGGCTGCGACCGCTGGTGGACAAAGGTCGGAAGATAGTCGTTATAAAAAAATTTTTTTTAATAGAAAGTGGTAGAAAAGGGGGGGGAGCAGTTTACAAACCAGTTCACAACACCCCCATTACTGTTTAAAGACAAATGCCAACAGCTGTCTCTAAACCGTGGGACCAAACTGTGCTTTACTGAATTTTCGCAATTTTCTACATTGAGTCTGTGTTAGACACACAAAAAAAGCTAACGACAATAAATATTATTTTAAAAGAAGAAAGGTTGAGGGGAAGGAACAAGAACCAGTATAGTTTTTTTCTTTAAGAGGTCATTCCACTGTGTTGACATGTCTATAAAATAAGAAATCTTTCCCAAAGTAGAGTTTCAAACCCAGCTCCTATTCCTAATCTCTTGGGTGGAAAATTGGCCTAATTAGGTTTCTGACAAATAGCAGTAAGCATATAGGAAAACATACTGATGGACTTGGTGTCTAACAAGAGGTACACACACCAGGAAACCTTCACTCTTAAGCAGTAGCACAAGTCTACACTATAGCTGGAGCAGTGGGTGGGAGAAGGCACACCCTGTTTCTTTCTGCTTCCTCCATGCAACTGTGCTCTAATCCTGGGAACTGAGCCAGACCCTGCATAAAAAAAAAAATCCTTGTAACAAGACCAATAGAGAGCTACAAAAGAAAAATTAATCAACCAACACCACCCTCTTCACCACCACTACCAAAGTAACCAATATTAACACAGATCAGTGTAGTCTACACCCTTCTCCAAATTCTTAGATCAACATATACTCATTTATAAATTGTTGCCTCACAAAAATGAATCTAACTATACACATTGCTATACTACTTGTTTTTTTTTTACAACTGCAGGTCAACACATAGAGATTTAATTAACCTCTTTTAAAAAGCTACAGACTTTCCATAGCATGGATATACCATAATTTATTCAACCATTCTGCTGTTGACATAATTATGTTGTTTCTAGTTTTTTGCTACAATAAACAAGGCTATAATAAACATCTTTGTACATATGTCTTTACCTCCTGCTAGTTTAATTTCTTTAGCATAAATTCCCAACAGGGGAATTACAGAATCACAGCATATGTGCATTTTTAAAAATCACTACTTTCCACTTCCCTTTAGTTTCTGCCTGTGGGACTCCTACTTACTGTCTAGGTTCAGCTCTTCACAAGCGCTTCAGGCAGAACTTATTTTCTCTTCTCTCATGGCAATTTTAATACCTGTCACAACAGTTAGCACCTTAACTCTTTTTCCACATCATGGCCCACACAGAAAATGACAGTACTTGTTCGGAGGCCCAGGGCGAATTGTTGACACTGCTTAGGGCCTGGGCATCTGTCCAGACCCTACCACTCTGAAGGTCAGCTGGCACATCTGTAGCTCTTGCCTGGTCACACCAGTTGAGAAGGTCTGCATTAAAGTCCGAGTGTTGTGTGCCCTCTCTGCCCAGCCACATGGCAGCTCTTGGAGAGCAGAGGCCCCTCTGTACTTAGCTCAGTGCCTTTTACAAACTAGGTACACAGTAAATCCATGACAAATGAATCTATCGGTAGATTGAATACATCAATAAAGTGATGTAGGAATGAGATTTTAAAATTGTAATTCCAGCCCTTTGGAAGGCTGAGGTGGGAGGATCACTTGAGGCCAAGAGTTCAAGACCAGCCTGGACAACATAGTGAGACCCCATCTCTAAAAAAATTTTTTTTAATTAGCTGGCATGGTGGTGCATGCCTATAGTCCTAGCTACTGGTGAGGTTGAGGCAGGAGCATCATTTGAGCCCAGGGGTTCAAGGTTACAATGAGCTATGATCACACCACTGCATTCCAGCCTGGGCAATAGAGTGATACCCCGTCTCTAAAAAAAAATAAAAAAAGAAAAATTTCAAACAGCATTGAACATATTCAATATCAAAAAGGCCTGGGATCCATAATACAAAAGACATGTATAGTCACCTACATGCTACATGGGCATCAAACAATCTCACAGACTAGAGAGTTTATTAATAGGATGAAAACTACAGCAAATGAGAGACTTAAATTGCATTGCCAAGAAATGTTTTCATTGGTAAAGTTCTTTGATAGTTCCTACTACTTTGTTACACTATTGCTCAAGCTTTGTACAGCATTACCTGAAAAGTAATGAATATGTCAATTCAGTTTCTAATTAAAATTATTCATATTATATTAAATTTAATCTCACTTCTGTTATATGTTGTTATCAAAGAAATTGAATAGTTCTAACATATGATTGTAATATTTAATTACTTGGTTTTATTTTAAAGGTTCAAAAAAATAGGCAGAATGTGAGATTGGTTTCTTATCAAATGCAGAAATGCCAGCTGAGTGATATTTATAAACACATGTCATGGAAGAGCATCAATATTGTTTCCAGACATATTCAGAAATTCTAACAGCTTTAAAACATCAAAGGTAAAGGAACTTAAAAGTTATTTTTCCTTGAAGTTATTTTAGGAAACTTATTTCAGAGTTAAATATTCCTTATGAAGAACATTTTTGTCCAATAGAATTTCCTGGAAATCAATGGTTGGCATTTACCTGAGATTTCCCTGAGCTCTTTCAATAGAACAAACTTAATTCAGGCATTATTATAGTTAGATAGAAAAAGAGGGATTCTGGGTCTCCTAGGGATAAAAGTGGGTGCTATTGTCCCCATTTTGGTCTTGCCACACCCTAATCCTGTCTCTAGTAACTGCCATACCTGGGGAAGAGGGAATACCCTACAAATCTGCCAATCATAACTTAGTGTGCCAGCTGCAAAAGAATGCAGAGGAATCTCTAGCTGATGGGCCAAGCAGCATAGGTACCATAGAGTCTGGAAATTGACCTAAAGCAACCTGCATGCATAGTTAAGACTCAGGTCATGTGACTCCCAACTGTTCAATCAAAGTGGTTCCATAGTGACCTCTGAACCACGAAGGAGGTACCAATCTAAACCAAGACACAGACCATAACCAAGTCCCTTTTGCACCCTTCCTTTCACTCTCCCTGTGCTGTGACAATGGGTTCAGTCATCTGTGGTGTATGAATCATGCTCTGTAAACGTGTATCTTGCTCTTGCCCTGTAATCCTATCTTTCTCTCCTCAATAAACCTCATTTCGTGCTTGCCTAACTTTGATGCCTCTGGTCGTTCTTTCACCATGGGTGTGCCAAGAACAAACATTTTCAGACTAAAACCTGACTTTATTTCTTAGTTATTTCCTAACTTGTTTTCTTTGACACGATTTGCCTGACAAGCAAGAACAACCAGAACAGTAAAGAATCATGCAAATAGATATTGACATTAGCAGCAAATGTGCTGATAGATCTTGCCAGAGGTATTGATTTTCCATTCCACAAAACAAACTAAACTAAGACTGAATTAAAATAACATCAGCAGGTCTTACACTGATAAACTATAAGCTGTTAATGTGAGATTGAGGTAAACCTTCTATATACATGAAAAGACTCGGCTATTTTTATTATTCATTGAGATCTTTGAGACCAGAGGGTTATTAACATTAATTTATTTTTTGATAATGCATCCATGAATGCTAAATAGATGTTGAATGAAAAAAAGATGGATGCTTAGATAAAACTGCCTTATGGAGTTTTCCTCCACAAATATTTTTTAATAATGAATTTTTCTGGCAGCACACATGCAGATGTCAAAAGCAGCAACATACTTTTTGAAATTCCCTAAATCCCCCTTAAAAAAACAGCAGAATATTGGAAAGTTAGAATGGATTTATGAAAAAAAAACCAGAGTATAAATATCTCTTATGAATATAGATGTAAAAATCCTCAACCAAACAATAGCAGAAGGAATTCAGTACATCAAAAAGAAAAATAAAAAAAGAAGAAGAAAGAAATATGCAGTTTGACAAAATGAGATTTGTCCTGGGAATGCAAAGGTGGCTTAACATCCAAAACCCAACTAATGTAACATACCATAGCAACAGAATAAAGGACAAAAACCACATTATTATTTCAATAGACGTAGATAAGGCATTTGACAAAATTCAACACCACTTCATGATAAAAACATTCAGAAAATTAGAAATAGAAGGGAACTTCCTCAATATCATAAAAGGTGATTATGAAAAACCTGAAGCTAACATCATACTTAATGGTAAAAGACAATGTTTTTCTCCCTAAGATCCAGAACTAGACAAGAATGACCACTCTGTCACTTCAATTCAACATTGTATTAGAGGCTGGGCGTGGTGGCTAATTACTGTAATGCCAGCACTTTCAGAAGCCAAGGTGGGAGAGTCGCTTGAAGCCAGGAGTTTAAGATTAGCTGGGCAACATAGGGAGACCCTATCTCTAAAAAGAAATTTAAAAATTAGCCAGGCATGGTGGCACAAGCCTATAGTCCCAGCTACTCTGGATGCTGAGGCAGGAGAATCACTTGAGCCCAGGAGGTCCACTGCACTCTACCCAATGTGACAGAGCAAGACTTTATCTCAAAAAAAAAAAAAAATGACTGGTAAAGTATTATTTCGGGGTGTGTCTGTGAGCGTGATTCCAGAGGAGATTAGCATGTGAGTCTGAGTAAACTAGGTGTGGAAGAGCCAACTCAATGTAAACCAGCACCATCCAATCTGCTGGGGACCTGGAGAGAATAAACACAGAGAGAAGGCAAATGTGTCGTGTGTCATCTCTCTGCTGGAGCTTGGATATACTCTTCCTCTCCAGTCTTTGGACAAACTGCTCCTGGCTCCCTGGCCTTTGGACTTCAGGATTTACACAAACTCCTGCCCCCAGCCCAGGTTCTCAGGACTTTGGCCTGGGACTGTTACA